TTTCAATACAAGAAATGTGGATACATCATTTACCTGAAATAATAATAAAGAAGATATATTCATTTAGAGTTTTTGTTTAATAGTTGGCAGCTGAACAATATATTGCAGGAGCTGATCTGCGTGTCCTCAATACTGACTAAAATGTTAGTGAGCATTTACATGGTATTGCGTATTGCACTGGTGTTTAGTAATCCATACATATATCATAACTATTTGTCCTTTTACACCAAATGTAATTTGTTTCAGATGATAGTCAAGACCGGGTATTCTTTTGCACTGACGTTCTATATTAGATTCATTTGAATGGTCTTGTACATTGTAATAGGCATACCTGTTGTGAAAATCTTTGTAAAGTACATGATATGACTAGACTACCACTAAACCCATCAGCCTGTGGGGCATCATCAGAAAGTCTGTGTAAAGTACATGATATGACTAGACTACCACTAAACCCATCAGCTGTGGGCATCATCAGAAAGTCTGTGTAAAGTACATGATATGACTAGACTACCACTAAACCCATCAGCCTGTGGGGCATCATCAGAAAGTCTGTGTAAAGTACATGATATGACTAGACTACCACTAAACCCATCAGCCTGTGGGCATCATCAGAAAGTCTGTGTAAAGTACATGATATGACTAGACTACCACTAAACCCATCAGCCTGTGGGGCATCATCAGAAAGTCTGTGTAAAGTACATGATATGACTAGACTACCACTAAACCCATCAGCCTGTGGGGCATCATCAGAAAGTCTGTGTAAAGTACATGATATGACTAGACTACCACTAAACCCATCAGCCTGTGGGGCATCATCAGAAAGTCTGTGTAAAGTACATGATATGACTAGACTACCACTAAACCCATCAGCCTGTGGGGCATCATCAGAAAGTCTGTGTAAAGTACATGATATGACTAGACTACCACTAAACCCATCAGCCTGTGGGGCATCATCAGAAAGTCTGTGTAAAGTACATGATATGACTAGACTACCACTAAACCCATCAGCCTGTGGGGCATCATCAGAAAGTCTGTGTAAAGTACATGATATGACTAGACTACCACTAAAACCCATCAGCCTGTGGGGCATCATCAGAAAGTCTGTGTAAAGTACATGATATGACTAGACTACCACTAAACCCATCAGCCTGTGGGGCATCATCAGAAAGTCTGTGTAAAGTACATGATATGACTAGACTACCACTAAACCCATCAGCCTGTGGGGCATCATCGGACAAGTATCCCACAGGGTGTGGTGGGAGAGACTGTCTGGTATCTTTAGTTCAAACTGTCAGAGATTTCTTTGATTCCGATCGACGCGAATTCATTTCAAATTAACCTTAAAAGTCGACATAAATGTGTTAGCCATTGTTCGCTAACTCCCCAACCTTTACCATGTGGCGGATATAAAAGTGTTCGACCGTACGTTCGTTTGCAGATTTAGACGTGACACGTTTAGAAAAACAAATGCTGCCGGCGAACAGATGACATTTCTTGATGAATCTATATGGTTATACGTATGGAATAGCTGAACCTAGATCGGAGATACACGTGACATCTCATTATTGCTGTGCTATGACGTGTTGCAGGTTTGCAATGCCAAATGTCAGTGGTACACCATAACACACACGGACAACCATCCAGGTCTGTATGTGACTGCAAGTGTCGGGTGGTGTAATGCTATACTGACCCTATGGCATATTGCTAGATCTGTACCAGATAAGTGTCTTCATGTCGTGTCTATACCGTTATTCTATACAAACCGTTTTGATCTGTTGTTTGATAATAAAAGTGAAAAGGGCAAGTCGGTGCTTTCTTTGTTGCTGTTACCTGTACTGACTACAGTTATATCTCAACTCAGTCCATCGTATAATTCCGACTTTAATGTATCGTGTATGTCTTCGCGTTAGGAAAGGTCACCTTACCGTACCGTAACCTGCATCAAGTGATATCAGTGTTGGTATCACAACTGACAAGTCGCATTTATTGCAATAAAACGGCTGTACATCCATGCAACTATCTCCTTTGTCCATCATACCAACTTCTCTCACGTCAATTATGAAATGTCCCAAACATGTCGACTCTAAAATAAGGCAAACGCTTGTTAAACAGTCAGTGTTACCACGCAGTATAAAGTATAAGTAGTGAGTGAGTGATGGATTTACGTCGCACTCAACAATATTTCAACTATATGGCGGCGGTCTGTAAATAATCGAGTCTGGACCAGACAATCCAGTGATCAACAGCATGAGCATCGATCTGCGCAATTGGGAACCGATGACATGTGTCAACCAAGTCAGCGATTCTGACCAACCGATCCCGTAAGTCGCCTCTTACGACAAGCATGGGTTACTGAAGATCAGTATTCTAACCCGGACCTTCACGGGTCATAAAGTATAAGTATCTTTGCTTTCACAATACAAAATGAACAGATACACACAGTAAGGATAAGATGTACAGATGGACAAGAACAGTATTACACTTACGGAGGGGTGTTACAGTGCTGGTTCCTACACCGTTATCAAACGTGTTACAACTTTAACTGAAACGTCCTTGGTACTTATAATCATAATTGGAATCTATACATTATGAAATAGTCATTACATACTTCCCGAACTTATACATGCCTCTCATGGTCATAAACAGACATGCGTCCATGAATCGCAAAACAACATGGCCCCAATTTCATGATATTTTCTATATGACATGAACTAATAACCTTTAGTTATAACACACTGGTCGTTTGCAATCCGTATGTGCCGTATGTCGAAATAATATGTATGATTAATCTCTATTTCTTACAGAATATGTCATAACACATCTTATGAGGTGACATTTTTTGTTCACATAGAGGGACTTCTATTTGAGAAAAAAACATGTGAGGCAAGTCACCGCACCCATCGTTGGCTGTCCAACATCCCAAACAAGTTATCTGAGACAAAGGCTTCTTGTAAATGTTATGTCTGGAAGGGTCATTGTTTCGTGGACGACTGTAGGACTTCGGAAACACGGTAACAGGAGCAGGATGATTGTGAAGCAGATCTTACCATGACATACACCACTGCTTCAATAGGGAACAGATTGCTATATGCTTGAATACTTCATAGGAATTTAGGCTTTTATCTACCGCAGATATAAGAATAAATGGAGGTATATTAACACCTGTTTGTTTCGGGTCTATGACATTAGGTGATCATCCAGATGGAGGAGCTGGGAGCACTGTGCTACTGTAAACTGTAAAGTGTACTCCAAGATTATCTACCACACTACCACACAGACACACTTCCAAGTTCCACGATACTCCCGATATACGTTGATGCCTGGCTTAGCTCAGGGTGTGCATACACATGCATTTGAACTTGCGTTGAAGTGAGTTTAGTATAAAGCATTGTCAATATTCAATCAATATCATGGCGGGGAACACCAGAATCATGCTTCACACATTGTTCCCATATTCCCATCCATGACGAGCGAACACTTGACAGAGAGATTCCATTTACACACGCCTGAATCCTAATAATACAAGCACGTGGGTATTATAAACGTTTAGAACATCATTAATAGACATATTCAACATAATATTGACGCACTATTGATATGTGTTACACCGCCGAATTCCACAAAAAGCTGGTTAATGGTAACCAATAACGTCACAGTGTCCTGCGAAGCATTGTGATGCACTTCCACTGTTATGATATAGCCAATATTTCATGGTAAATCAAGATGACAAATCTTTTGTGATGTATTTTTTTTTCGAAAACAAGGGTTGTCTCATGGGTAGGTTTACTGCACAAGCCGATCGTGCGAAAAAATGTTCGGTTCCTCCTTTCGGTCTACGAACTGTAAACTATATTTTAAGAACGCTTCTCCCAAGGCATCTGTGTTTGTGAAAATCCTTCGACCTTCAGTTCACAGTTCCTGGTATTAATTGGAGACCAATACTGTTACAAAACAGAAAAAAACTCCAGAATGCCTTGATCAGAACTACGCATGACTTTCCAGCATATCGATATTGGAATAATAAAACAATCGTCCGAAGTCCATTTAATGAAGCCGCCACTTAACGTTACGATGTTGGGGTTTATGATCAGAACTTAGTTCAGTTCAACTGTTAATTACGGCGATACCCTAATAATGAACACTCCAAGGTACTCCTTGTGTTATGATGTCTATGATAAACAGTACCAACAAGAATATGGTGCCCAGGTTGCTCAGTGTTGTCTTTGGATCCTGGATTCCATGGACATGGTTTGTCCACCCTCAACATTTCTCGTAATATCAAACCGCCAGGAGTGTTTAAGTACCAGTGGTGAGAGTTGAGAATACTGTTTTAAAATTGAGGATAGAATAATGTCGCAAAATACAGTGATATTTTGTTTTTCATTTACAGGATATTTATAATCCCCACAATAGGCTCGTATAATAAAGTCTGTATATAATATACTTTAATGTATCTAGTAAAATGTGTTAATGCAGAATATTTATAATCCTAAAATTGACTGGCGTGATACTCTGACGGTATCGTTTAAAGTATCAAGTAAAATGTGAAATGTCTCCCTGAGATCCGGAATATGTCCATAGAGTTAAAATCAAAGCAATCGTACACATCTGAGCGATATAACATCTGTGTCACCTCGACATTTTAACATTAATAAGACTAGAGGGTAAAGCAAACCAGTGACTGAAAGTATGAACAATTACCCATCTAACAAACCCTCCAGTCTGTCCACCAACACCTGCTGGTGTATCATTCAACCAACACCTGCTGGTGTATCATTCAACCAACACCTGCTGGTGTATCACTCAACCAACACCTGCTGGTGTCTCATTCAACCAACACCTGCTGGTGTATCAGTCAACCAACACCTGCTGGTGTATCATTCAACCAACACCTGCTGGTGTATCATTCAACGTGATTTGAATCGCAATAGAGGCAGCTGTGTAGGATAATACTGTTTATTACAAAGTGTATTGTTTTGCTATACAAATGTGAAAAAAACATGATAATTACAAACAAATAACGTTATTAGCATGTCACTTGTGCTGAAGTGATTCTGTCTCAACAAGCAGCGTCAACTGCAGAAGTTCTGAAAGGAAATAACAAGTATTTATAAACATCTCCCCCATCCACTAAGTGTTTATAATACTGACTGATATTCATCAGTCAGGAAATATGTCACTACATTAACACAAAATATCATACATTCTGCAACGTCCTTTATAGATTTAACACATGTATAATGTTAAAAGTGAAATCAACTTAAGGTACTACTTTTCATCGCTTGCCCAATAACATACCACAATAACCAAAAACTGCATCAGTCAGGGCAACAACAAGTACCATGTTCTGACATATATTTACTGTGCAAGGTTTAAGGCAAATCATCAAATGTTGACACATAAATCATCTGAGTGAGTGAGAGAGTGAGTGAGGTTTTACGCAGCTTTTAGCAATATTCCAGCAATATCACGGCGGGGACACCAGAAATGGGCTTCACACATTGTGCCCATGTGGGGAATCGAAACCCGGGTCTTCGGCTGAACGAGCGAACGCTTAACCACTATTCAACCCCACGGCCCCGATATCTTCTGAGGGTTAATGTTGAAACAGTATGTGAAATGCTCTCCTTTGGACAGGAATACGTAAAGACGTTATAAATGAATATCATTCAGGATATTTTGAAAAATAATGTTATGAAAAAGGTATAACTATCCTTGAACACTGTTGACAGACATACACTATTAAAACACCATAGCATGGAAAGCCAGTATAGAATAGTGCACCAACCTGAAATGTCGAGTTGATTATCGCCATTGATGTCAGCAATACTGAGAATGACTCGGGCCTCTCTTGGCGTGTAGCCTAGTCTGCCGTCGAGGTAGGTCAAAACGCTGTACAACTCCATGCCGTCCACAACACCGTCTTCGTTCTTGTCAAAGTCGAAGACGCTCTGTCCAGTGGCTCCCAACATGGTACCCGGCAGATGCGGTACTGTGGCACCGAATACTGTTGAAGAAAACACGTGAAAGTTGCAAATTCTTGCATGACGTTTGATGTCGTTACAGGTGATATTTCATTCCATGATAATAATGTGGACATTTATATTGCACTGAATTCCTCACCACAAAAGGGAACGCTCACATGATGGGAGGGGGCAGGGGTGTACATGTATACACAAGACTAGATAATTAAGTCCAAGAAAGAAATAGATAGGTCTTGATTTAAAGACTGGTAAGGAAGGGGATAGTTTGAGGCCAAGAAGGAGCGAGCGCTATTCTGCGGCAGGAAAACAAACTACTGACGCCCAACGATTTGAGTTTGTACGTAGGGACGCCCAAGAGCAACTTTTCATTGAAGCAGGGGTCTCCTTTTCATTATATATATATTTTTTTACTATGAACTTTTTTCAGTAAAATATGTTCATTTCAGAGACTAGTTGTTAATCTAGGGTTTCTGCTGGTCTTGTAGATAGGGTGGAGCAGTTTTGTGAAGACTGATAAACCAGTGAAGAGGAAGACAATTCTTTCTTTTACTTTAAGTCAGTGGAGTGATATTAACTCTTAGTATATAATGTGTGAAAGCTTTTTAGTCCTAGTTGTTATCCTGGTAGCGTTATTTGGATATGTTGGAGTCTGCATCAGTTGTTTATAGCTCCCTCTAGGTTGGTCGGCTGGTTAGTTGGTTTGTTGTTTAACGCCGCACTCAGCAATATCCCAGCTATATGGCGGCGGTCTGTAATAATCGAGTCAGGACTAGACAATCCAGTGATCAACAGCATGAGCATCGATCTACGCAGTTGGGGTACGATGACATTTGTCAACCAAGTCAGCGATTCTGACCAGCCGATCCCGTTAGTCGCCTCTTACGACAAGCATGGGTTGCTGAAGACCAATTCTTACCCGGTTCTTACGGGCCCGGATCTTCATGGGTCAGCTCCCTCTAGGAAACTGTGATAAGAGATCTAGAGGATCTTCATACGGGTCAGCTCCCTCTAGGAAACTGTGATAAGAGATCTAGAGGATCTGAGAAAGAATGCCTGATCTGAGAAAGGCTGCTAAGTAAGAACCTTATGTTCCGGATATGCAAACTGCATGGTTTTCACAGATATAGATATATGAAATTCTATGTTGAGGTTCGAGTCAATATATACATCAAGGTTCTACAGTGAAGTTGAAAAATGGAAAACGGACAGATCGATTTAGCAGATCGATGTGACATTTTTTAAATTTTGACGAGGATCCAAAATAAAAGCTTTTGTATTTTCACCATTGAGTGTCAGCAGATCAGAATCCATCTAGGATTTGTCATGATCTACACATGATTCCATGGCAGTTTGGACCGCAAGATGATTTCTTATGAAGCATTGAAGTGTTCCATTAGCTGTGAAACATCGGCATAGAAACGTTGAGCGACTTGCTGATCTGTGAGGAAATGTCCCAGTGGTCGTGTGTACAGCGTGAACAGAATCGGCCCCAGTACCGAGCCTTGGCGGACACCGCACTTAATGATTACTGGGCTTTATGATAAAACTTTGACAATCTGAACCAACAGTGGCTTTTGGAATAAGTAAGATGTAAAACAGTACTGCATAATCCAACCTCATTTTCTAGTTTTGTATTGATGAATAAACAGTATGTCGTCAATATGGTCAAAGGCACCACATAAATCCAGTCAGACAGACATATCACCTTTGTCACAAGAATCACGAATCTCATGTCTGATAATGTCTAAATTGCGACATTAATACCATTATTTTCTGATTTGCTCCTCGGGAAAATCTATTGTCATAATATGACAAATAGGTAAAGAAATGAAGCATGCGCTGGTACCCAATCACGTATGTACATGATGATGATCATACAGCGAAATGGATGAAGTGAATTCACTCCGTCAATATGAATTTCTATACTAATGCTCTGAATGTTTGCTTTGTTTTTTCATTTCTTTTCATCAGTATTGTGTACGCAGCTCACGATAATAACTTTTACAGGGTAATATTTTAAATTAATTATATACATCTACGTACGAGCACAGAAATACAACATTCACTCACCAATGACATTCCAGCAGAGAGCAATGCTGAGGATGATTGTTGCCTTGTTCATTCCCATGTCTGTTCCTTCACAAACGTCAGCAGTCCCACTGTGTATTCTTCATTCAGCCTAGCTTATATACCCTTATCTGAGAACGACAGTAACTGGCATAACAGTAAGGTCATGTACCGTAATGACAGCAATCACTGCAACCTACATGGTGCTTCGGCTTGCCCGTGCTATTGATCACCAATATCCGATCATTTGTATGGGATGCATGTATAATTATCCAGTTTTATCAAATATCATAATACGGAGCACTGCTGAGCGAACTTCCTTCTCTGTTGGTGGTGCTTAGAGCTGTAGGACATATTTCACTGTCGAACATCACACATGGTGATAATTGTTACAGTAGACATGTCGGAATCGACTGTAAATGAATTATAATGCCTCATTATGAATGTGGTCTTGTAACCTTCCAGTTTCATGCCTGGACAGTTAATTAGATACAGCAATTTTAACATTATTACACCGTTTCCCCGATTTCGAGGTAGTTTTAGTTTCCTGTGTTTAAACACCCGCTGCTTTGAGACCTGTATGATATGTTCATACACCGATGCATCTTTCAATGCGTCTTTCAGTATGTGTTTCATCCCTGGCAACATGACTGATAGACTGTCACCTTCCACTGATTTGCCAATTGCAATTGCAACACAATCTAGCAATGTCTGCATAATGTCCGGTGTAATCGTTTTAGCTATTTAATCCTTAGATTTATGCAGAAAGACTGAGTTACGAAAATCTCCCTTCACAACTGAATGAATAATTGAGAGTGGTGACCTTAGAATATTATTTTTCTTCATCGAACTACACTAAAGCAGAATCAACCATTGGTATCTGCATTTTAGAACATTTGAGGCACAATCTTTCATGATCTTTCGACAAAGATTCAAAACAGTGTAATACAACTCCTCCAAGTAAACAACATCCAAGGCTGTAAGCAGTATGTCATTGTGTATTGAATGATGAAAAATGACCTTTGCATGATATACTGGAATACATCAGGAACACATCACTGAGGGAAAGATGTGAACTCACTTCCGGACTAGCAAAAATAAACCCACCCCACGTTTTTCGTTACATCACGGGTTTCTCGCGGGACAAAGGGACGCAACTCGGCACATGGGATAATACGTGCCCCATTTGTCAACAATGGAGAATTGACCTGTGGTAACACGGTTACAGGGAAAACAACTTTAGCATGAGGCTACATGTACAATTTTCACTTCACATATTACATGTACAGTCCGTCTTACCAGTGAGGGGCGGTGGGGTAGCCTAGTGGATAAAGCGGTCGCTCGTCATGCCAAAGGCCGGGTTAGATTTCCCACATGGATGCAATGTGTGAAGACTTTTTTCTGGTGTCCCCTGCCGTGATATGACTGTATTATTGCTAAGAGCGGCGTAAAACCATACTCACTCACTGACCAGTGAAGATCCGGGTTAGAACTGGTCTTCAGTAACCCATACTTGAAAGAGGCGACTAACGGGATCGGGTGATCAGGCTCGCTTACATGTTTAATGCATGTTAGATAGAGGTTCCTGATGTCCATCACTGGGTTGTCTTGTTAGATTCGAGTATTTACAGGCCGCCGTCATAAAGCTGGAAAACTGATGACTGCGGCGTCATAGAGTAAACAAACAACGATATGCACTAGGTCTATTTTTTTGCAAACTGTAGATATCTGAGAAAACATATTTGCACATCCATTTGTGTCTATATATGAAGTATATTCCATTCTGCCGTATATAACCAACAAAGTATATCTTGTCATACATGAATGAGTTTTTCACATTACCTTAAGATTTTGGGGCTTTATAGTTGATTTATTGGGTGCAACGAGACATGACATGAACCGACACAGCTCTGAGTCATTGTTATGTCAAAACACTCAGAAATATTCAACCAACACAGCTCGGGGTCATTGGTATGCCGAAACACTCAGTAACATTCAACCATCACCGCAGGCAGCTGGTAATTTGAGGGTCTGACAAGACATATAACCAACGATAGAACCAGTCGGAGGTGGATGACGCACCCTCCTCAGCAAAGGTATTGAGTACAGCATCCCAGTCCTCAGTCAGTTTCACAGTCCCTGTAGCGCATTATGTTTTCTTCTGCTTAACCCTTTCTGCAACGCTAAAGCCCTAAATGAAGCAAGTCTAGATTCAGGTTCTGAATCACACTTCTCACTGGGGCTCCCTTTCAGTGTAAAAGGAATTGTTTAATTCTATCAGAATTATATATATTCAGAGACTTAGTCCACCCAGATCTTGGAGATGGATATTATCTGCTATTAGTTCGTGGAATGGCCACTCACCTTCGTGGTAACAGAGTTCTCGATTGCTCTGATCTGTTGCACTGGGATTTTAATGGCTCATCATAGTAACTGTTGGGGCAACTTAACAAATAGTTTGTAGGAATTGTTCCCACGTTTCATTGTACAGCTCAGTCGATTAGATACTGGTTTAGCAGTTGTTGCTGATTAACATTCCAAGAATACATCAGGCGAGGGCAAGGCGACCCAGGCAGTATTTTGATAGCGGAGGAGCAGGATTGGGTTTCCGAAATGTCTGTGAAAACATGATGTGTGATTATCAACACAGATTGAGACTTACGATATGTATTACACTGTTCCGTGCATTAAGATGAAGTCTCAGAATACAGTAATTTATGGCAGATTCTTGAGAAAACCTGGGAAGTATCCCACAGCCACCATAGGCACGTCATGGGATACACGTACACTGTCTCACACATGCCAAGTACAAAGCTATTTACGTCATGAACATGATTATGCACATTTTTTCTTGCTAGGTGAAGTGACAATGTAATGTTACTTGACAGAGAAAATAGCCATTATGTTTAGCTTTTCATTATAAAGACCTCTTTCCTGCGATCGAGCGCTGCACTGCGAGATACGGTGGACGGTCCACGGTGGACATTAGGCTGACGTGGAGGTTGTTTCTGTTTTCCACCTCCAAATTGATGTATCATACACATTAGTCAATCGTTTTGTCTAGTTATGCAAATATATTCAGGAGCCTTTCGAATATATATGATTTTAAATGAAAGCAAATGAAGACAAAAAAGAAGTTTGCCGTCCGGGGATAAATATTGCAGTGGCTGTTGATAATATTAAAAGGTACGTGGGTATATTTTTGTACCAATTTGATGCAAAAGGGAATTCATGGCATAATGTTTTGAGATCGACAATCCCACCACCACTGTAGAATGTAGTACAAGGCAAAGACTGAGGTCTTGTGGACAGTCCAGTCTAACGTTAGTTGATTGCATCGTACACAGTTGGGATTCTTTGTCTTTCCTTTTGCATCGTTATTATCATATTAGTGTGTCAGCTTAATACGGGGAAAGACCAGAGAACGTTCACGGCTGTGGTGAGCGAGCATGGTGCTGACATTGTTACTATCATATTAGTGTGTCAGCTTAATACGGGGGAAAAGACCCAGAGAACGTTCACGGCTGTGGTGCGGAGCGGGTGCTCATTGTTACTTCCTTAGCATCGTTATTATCATATTACTATGTGTCAGCTTAATACGGGGAAGAGAACCAGAGAACGTTCACGGCTGTGGTGAGCGAGCAGGGTGCTGACATTGTTACTATCATATTAGTGTGTCAGCTTAATACGGGGGAAAAGACCCAGAGAACGTTCACGGCTGTGGTGAGCGAGCAGGGTGCTGACATTGTTACTATCATATTAGTGTGTCAGCTTAATACGGGGGAAAAGACCCAGAGAACGTTCACGGCTGTGGTGAGCGAGCAGGGTGCTGACATTGTTACTATCATATTAGTGTGTCAGCTTAATACGGGGGAAAAGACCCAGGGAACGTTCACGGCTGTGGTGAGCGAGCATGGTGCTGACATTGTTACTATCATATTAGTGTGTCAGCTTAATACGGGGGAAAAGACCCAGAGAACGTTCACGGCTGTGGTGAGCGAGCATGGTGCAGACAAACAGGTAACTATAATCTTGGCGAATCTTGATTCAACCCAGTTGACTTCTAATTTTCCCGAGCAAGTCTGCACGGTCACTCGGGCCTCATACTTGACATCAAATCAGTCACATTTGATTATGCGATTGTGGGACGATTTCCCACACGGAAATCTCTGAAACGTAGCGTTCATAGCGTTTGCATAATCGCTGATGGATGTAGGAGTAATATAACATTCATCCACTCGCAAGATGAAGTGGTGATCCTTGACGGATACATGCGATACATGGAACCCTTCCCGTAAAAGTGAATAGTTGTCATTATATCATAAAACATACTTGAAACACACACGATTCCCCAAGATACAGTGGTGCTGAGTTGCAGATGATGTACATAATCAACTCTACGGTCAGGAATATCCCACCCACGACGTCCTGTGAATAACCAAGACAAACCACTGATTGATATCAATAGCAACAACACTACCACGCGAAGCACTGCTGACGAACTGCAAGACACAGTTCGAGTAAAATGGATTTGGAAGAGGTCACCATCCCGCCCGTCTCAAGACTTAACTACAGAAACGAACACCCAAGAAAATCCGTTATCTAGATAAGGTAGTTAAGTGGCATTTTAAATGCTGAAGTACCAATGACGTCAGAACAGAGTTATATATTCCACCTATTAATTCTTTCAGTGCTGTGTTTCGATACTTAAACCAGTAGCTCCACCATTAGCTAGATAAAAGCATCTGTGGGAAATGTGTTGTTGGAGAATGGAAAAGCTGGAAGTCTGAAATCAAATCTGCCTTCATGGCCTGTGCAGGTGGATGAGTTCAGCTATAGAGGATGCAAACCCACGCCATCAATGAAACATTACCCATACATTCCAGGCTGTGGACATGTATCTCCGTGCTCACGTAATTCTTTAAAAGAATCCACAATGCAGCATCCGCTTATCAGCCCATGGGTAAACGTCCTGAAGGCAGTGTTTGTGTAAAGTATGAAATTATCTGAGTCTGTTCCTCAAAGATAGGTGTGTTATCTGAGGAATTCATGGTCTGTGTGTGGAGTTTCTCTTTACTACCATGCCGTCTCCCCGATTGCCTCCTTTGCAAAAAAAGAGATACCGTCATTCTCGTATGTTACATGACGATAATGTTCCTGCTAGCTCACTGTCTGTTGTTTGTTCCCACAAATGTGATACATCTACGTACATTGAACCTGGACCAAATCCCTAAACATATACCCACGGCGACCCTGGGAAGGATAGCACCACATTAACATTACTGGTGGCAATACGTGGACCAAACGGGTCATGTGGCGGGATCGTATTCCGTGGATAGAGATGACGAGTTGTCAGGTCCAGATTATCTAAAGATCGCTGGATTATTGCTCGAATGTGGCGTCAAATCCAAACCACAAACTTTAAAGTATCCTTGATTGTCGGCACTATATGAACTGTGCCTGTTCATAACAATTGTGTCCGTGCATCTGACATTCGACTGATGGCTTCACTGACATAATACACGGGTACTTGAGTGACCGTAAGTGTGATGCATCTGTGAAATTGACTATGTGTTTGTGTGTATGTGTGTGTGTGTATATGTGTGTGTGTACACGCGTGCGTGTGTGCGTGCGTGTGTGTATGTCATAGATCCCACTTTTTATCAATGGAGGAATCGTCTGATATATTTACATACACCTACAGGTTGAAGCACATGTAGCTTATAAGCCCTGACCTGATGGCAATTTTATCAGCTTATCATTACGGTAATTACCCAACACATCATAAACCTAACCAGGCAGCTAGTTATCTCCACATGGGTCCATCTGCGGTCCAGCTACACATTATGAACTCCACGTGGTCACATCAAGAAACCAAACTCAAATATGGCCCTTAGTTGTAAAACATTGACATTTCGCGCTGAACTTTTGGAAAATCGCTTTGAAGATATACGAAACAGTTCAGCGTGTGCATCGTGAAAAGAGGTTCGAGACGGAAGACAGTGAATATATAGCTGTTTCAGGTAGAGATAAGGATATGTTTATCATTCCGCGATACAATAAAATGATTATCATAACCGAGTGTATGTAACAGAATCACATATCTGATACAGTTCCTGTATTGTATACAATGTAAGACAACTAAGCCAGATACGAGTTACAGAATGATGTTTATTGAAGCTTTCAGAACGTGTGCTACCATAGTTGGCTATACTGCTTACAGTTTGTTGTACGAAAGTTTCATGCTATCAACGAAATGACATTGATTCATTATGAACAGTGGGTTCAGTCGAGCATCGCTGCGGGGTGCATACGGGGTTCAATTCGCACTGTTCGACCTCCCTCTTCGACTGGTCCTTCATTGACTGAAACATTAAAAACAGAGGGCTATGACAATCCGTGTGGCATGGTACAGGTACATGTGACTGAAAGCCTCACCGAATGCATATGTGTTTAGTCCTGAAAATACACCCATCGAATATCTGCTGCCAAATTGGAAGGAGTCTTCCTGAACATCAATGCCAACCACTAACCGTAATAAAGTTACTAGAGAGAGGGACGGATCTGAAACACGCAAACCACTAACCGCAATAAAGTTACTAGAGAGAGGGACCATCTGAAACACGTAACCGTAATAAAGTTACTAGAGAGAGGGACGGATCTGAAACACGCCAACCACTAACCGCGATAAAGTTACTAGAGAGAGGGACGGATCTGAAACACGCCAACCACTAACCGTAATAAAGTTACTAGAGAGAGGGACGGATCTGAAACACGCCAAACCACTAACCGTAATAAAGTTACTAGAGAGAGGGACGGATCTGAAACACGCAAACCACTAACCGTGATAAAGTTACTAGAGAGAGGGACGGATCTGAAACACGCCAACCACTAACCGTGATAAAGTTACTAGAGAGAGGGACGGATCTGAAACACGCCAACCACTAACCGTAATAAAGTTACTAGAGAGAGGGACGGATCTGAAACACGCCAACCACTAACCGTGATAAAGTTACTAGAGAGAGGGACGGATCTGAAACACGCAAACCACTAACCGTAATAAAGTTACTAGAGAGAGGGACGGATCTGAAACACGCAAACCACTAACCGTAATAAAGTTACTAGAGAGGGACGGATCTGAAACACGCCAACCACTAACCGTAATAAAGTTACTAGAGAGAGGGACGGATCTGAAACACGCCAACCACTAACCGTGATAAAGTTACTAGAGAGAGGGACGGATCTGAAACACGCAAACCACTAACCGTAATAAAGTTACTAGAGAGGGACGGATCTGAAACACGCAAACCACTAACCGTAATAAAGTTACTAGTTACTAGAGAGGAGGGACGGATCTGAAACACGCAAACCACTAACCGTAATAAAGTTACTAGAGAGAGGGACGGATCTGAAACACGCCAACCACTAACCGTAATAAAGTTACTAGAGAGAGGGACGGATCTGAAACACGCAAACCACTAACCGTAATAAAGTTACTAGAGAGAGGGACGGATCTGAAACACGCAAACCACTAACCGTGATAAAGTTACTAGAGAGAGGGACGGATCTGAAACACGCAAACCACTAACCGTAATAAAGTTACTAGAGAGAGGGACGGATCTGAAACACTGACTTGATTGTAGCATTCACGATGGAATTCACACTTGTTCGTGTTTGTAAATAGTAAGATCAAATTACGAAATTGTTCAAGACCGTCGTTTTAAGATCCCACAGCGCGTAAAGCTGAAACTACATGAACATATGATTATGAAACTCAATGATGAAGACGACATCAGCAGTTATCAGTGCCATCATCCTGCCCTCTTCACATTACCCCGACAGAACATATCTGGGATGAACTAGGGCACCGTGTTTACTGGTGTCACTCTCCTCTGTACTAGCAGCTCTACTCCGGGTGTGGAACGCCATACCCCAGGCTGTGATTATGAAGCTGGTCAGTGGCACGAGCGCAAAGAAGCGCAGTCGGAAGAAGCTGGGTTGCATCAGATACTGACAGAATACAGAATGTACCCTAAATTATATTTGAGATTACACTTTTTCAGTGCGGAATCTGCGATGTCTCAGAGGGTTAGATCACTGACTTTGTGTCCTTTCGATGAGGAGCCTGACTCTCATAGTGTGGGTTCGAATCCCGGATGGTACAAGCTACTGACTATTTACAAACGTTATATACTGTAAGCCATTAAAAACGCAATTGGTATTTGTTGTCCTGAAACTCACAAAAGTTCTATTGAAGATTTTTGCCTGCGATACAGAGGATGTAGGGATAAAAGGCTGTTATTCTGGCCCATTTCGAATTCGAGTCCCGGAGCATACGTCTCACATGAACTTTGATACTTAAAACTGAACCTTTGACATTTCTCGTAAACACAACCACATTCATGAAACACGTTGTGCACATGCATTACCTATACCCAGGCCCTGTAAAAGCACAAGGAATTGTGGAACTCAATCACTTTGAGAAAATGCCACCGCTTCAAGTTTCACACTTGCGAAATCGGTTCCAAACAGCTGATGATGAGGCAAGGAGGACAATTGGGACAAGTCAACGTCATTTCAGCGCCCAAAAGGTGCAAGGACGCCTTGCTGCCTTCAACATCCGGTGTCGTCACCCGTACCGTGGTCCAACCTTATTGCATCGCCACAGACTTGCCAGACAGCGATGGGCAGCAAATGGGGCCAATCTTGGCAACAGGACATGGCCAGATGTCATTTTGTCAGATGAATCCAGGTTTAACTTATCCTTTGCAAATGGACGTCCACAGATTTATCGACGTAAAAAGGAGAATGACTTACGCCAAACTGTGTCCTTGAACATGATCGTTTTGGAAGGGGTGGTGTCATGATCAGACCATAGACCATCAGAGGCTGCAGACCATCCAACAGCTGTTCCTGAGAAATGTGTGTCTTTCAATGCCCCAAAGACTGCGAGCATGTCTTGCAGCGCACGGTGGACACACACGATATTGACTGCAAGTGACCCCTCCGTTGTTTGATGTCGTTGTTGCGTCACTGATGTTGTTGTTGACTGGACATTTTCAGATGAAATTATTCACAGATGTTCACTTAAAACATATCTGCCAGTTAGGTTTATATATGTTGAAATTGGTGTGAGTAAAGAAAGTATGAATGTCAAATTGCGTTTTTAATGGCTTACAGTATATATATACATGTTACTTGACATATATGTATATGCGTACACAAAACATACGTTTCATGGATGTCAGGACCACACGTACCTTCGAGTGGTGGATATCTGTCATCCTCAGCACAACCTGAAACAAGCAGGACCATTCACTCTCCATGTATAGACACATTGCGTTTTATATTTATCCCCCAAGCTTTAAAGAGACAACCGAAAACCGAGACAAATTCGGACATACCTTCCAACAGTGTTTGTGAATTGAGTATTGGAGTCATGAAACAAGTCGAAAATCAAACATAATCGATTATAAACCTTGCTGAAGCATGTTTTATCGGAAGTGAATAGGTAGAAATGTTGAATTATGATAAATATTGTCACCAGAAAAAATGCGATATTTTAAAGAATACAGTGAATAAAACTACTCCAATCGTGGACATGGCGCCAGCCAGCCGACTGTATGTATTGAAGCGAACTACTTCCCAACACACCGTTCAAGAAACTTGGTACAGTGGTAAAGAAAAACGGAACCTGCGCCCATTTGATATGGCACCTCGCTTGGCTGACACTCAGCAGTACGGAACCATCAACAAAACCAACAAGAGATTATGTCCTTTATCCTTGGCTCGAATGGTGTAGCCTTGTTGAAGCGTTCGCTCGTCACGCCTACGACACAGGTTCGATTCTCTCCATGGATACAATGTATGAAGCCCAGAAACTGTGGAATAATTATTATAATTATTGTTATTGAATTATATTTTACAGATTAAAAATTGTATGTAGCATCCTGTCACAGTCCCGCTGGTAAGGTTCATCATCAGCTCAGGGCCCTTGCCCCCTCTACACGCAGCCCAGACAGCGAATGGGACTTCTCCCAAGAAACGCTGCATAGCCGAACCCACCAAGGACTCTCCGGAGAATATGTAGGCTACCCAACACCGCAGCCTTCTGCATTACCCAGAGTGTCAGAAGGGCTGTGCTCCCGATGGGGAACCCGTGCACTCTGATAATCTGCGCCAAGAGATCAGGAGGTACCAAACCAAGGGCACCAAGAACAATGGGGAGTCTGACGACAGTGTACTTGGGATGCAAACAAGACATTTCAAAGGCGAGGTCAGCATATTTAGCATGCTTTTCCTGAATCTTACCAATCACGCTGTTGTGAAAGGGAAAGAAAATCCAATGATATGAATAAATATACTGGCTTTATCAAAAAAGGACAAGATCAGGTGTGTTGGCTGGAATACATCTGAGGCTGTTTATGGGCTTATTCCAAAGAAGTTTAAAAGAATCACTTTCCATGACGCCTAGATATGTTCAGGGTCGTACCATGGATGGACCTCGGAGTCAAAGCCACAGACATAGCGCAGACGGTAGTAGAAGCAACGACCTATGGGAACCAAGGAAGGGCATCCACTGACAAGGTGTTGGGCAGTCTATGTAAATTCATTACAACATCGGCATTTCGTATTGATAATTTGTTTAAGAATCACATTTTGGCGATTGCGAGTGGGAAGTGACTGGTCCTGGGCAGCAATAAGGAAGCCCTCTATTTCACATTTAAGACCAGCCGACTGTTCTGTTCCACACACTGCGTGTACACACGACGCAATGGCTTCTCAGAAAGCTTCTCCAACATAACCGACTTTGGGCAGACTTGGTGAAGGACTTCACCTGGTTTACTCCCATCGCTGTACCGTCCAGCAGTACATCGCCATCAACAAAATCTACCTCAAATTTCAGATTCTGTCCAACAACCTTGGCACGCTTAAATAGCTGTGGAATTCCTTGCTTTCATCATGAGTCTTGATATGCATCACCAGAGGATCCTCCGATAAATAAATACACATGTATGTGCAAAAGAACACAATAACATTCATAATAACATGAAGAGCCTCCACATTAATCAAACCCCGTCCTCCTGAGTTGATTGGCACAGATTATTATTATTATTAGTAGTAGTAGTAGTAGTAGTAGTAGTAGTAGTAGTAGTAGTAGTAGTAGTAGTAGTAGTAGTAGTAGTAGTAGTGGTAGTAGTAGTAGTTTGGAAGGTACCGACAAGGTTGCCCTGACGAATCCATCGCCTGCCCTGCACTTGAAAGGTCTGCCGGATGACTTTCACGTATGCCCATCGCTGTTTTTTTCAAATGGAGTCTCTCGTAGTGATTCGACGGTCCACAATACACCACCTTTAAGTAAGAGAGTGAATATTTCCATCGCATTTGATCGGCAAACTAAGCGTTTTGAATTTTGCCAGATTTCATAGGTCTCGGCAACAAGCAAAGCACTATATCCTGATTGGCTGATAACTAAACCAGCGGCACTTGTATTACATTATTTGTATTTGTTGCCTGCAGTTTTATATGTGTTACTGATTAATTAAAAGTCTATGAAGTACGCATTACCGCAATAAGCGTTACAGTTATAGAAGCCTATTCTTAAAACGAAGGACATTACCCATCAGCAGTTTCGCAACTGCAACATTCTTTTCAATCACTGGTAGATTAACCTTATCCACTTGACAGCAACGTTTAATCTATATACTCTGGTTATGTTTTGCATAGGTTCGTTACGTCGTCCTTACCTGGTTAATCATGAATGGGTGGAAATGTTCTAAACTTACTCAAGAATAATCTATATACTCTGGAGATGTTTTGACAGCATCACCAACGTTTAATCTATATACTCTGGTTATGTTTCGACAGCATCACCGAAATTATAACTCTGGTTATGTTTAGCATCTAACTCTGGTTATGTTTGACAGCATTTGATTTAATACCGAACGCGTAGCGTGAGGTTTTTAATCTATAAAATTGTTAGAGCATCACCATACGTTTAATCTATATACTCTGGTGATGTTTTGACAGCATCACCAACGTTTAATCTATATATCTCCATTCTGACAGCATCATGACCGCGTTATTATGATTTTAAAAAATACATGGTTATGTTTTGACAGCATCACCAAGGTATATAACTATATATATCTGGTTCGTTGAATGTCCTTTGATTAATCCTCACAATCCAGTATTTACTGAAGTCATGGTAGAATGTCGAATTGTTCCAGGGTATTTAGAACAGAACAGGCATGTGACACTGGCAACTCAGCGATAAAACCACCTGTATGGGCAGGATCTAACCCCAGCTACTGATGATGAGTGGAACTCTTGCTTAAATACAGACGTTCATAACTTTAGTTTAGTTAGACCAGGAGCATGGAGGTCGAGAGACGTTAATGCTTTCCCGAGGCCTTGTCCACGGCATTTCAGCCATACTGTGTTAAGATTATTTGCTATATGTACACGTTATACATTCCCGTCGACAATAGATATCAATATAACCAGTAACAGGCATGCATAACAGATTTAGATAGAAACTAGTTGAGACATGAGACAAATAAACTATAAAACAGTCGTAAAATGAAGGCCGTAGATCGCCGGCAAGGACGAATCTATGACAGATAGGGTCCTGACTGAATTAACAAGCATTACAGAGATCAATGCTCATTGTGAAACTGTAGGTGAATCAGCAAACAACGGAACAGGAACCAATGCAGGTAATAAACTGATTTCAGCGGAAGTTATGAAACAGAAACTATTAACACTTCCAATCTGTTTTGGATGAATTTCGTAATCTTCTGTTGTAGGACCTACCTTCTAGGGCTTGGAATCAAACTCATACACTGAACTATTTTATTTGTTGGCTGTTTAACCACGCAGTATCAATATTCATATATGAGTAAGAACAATCCAGTGATTGACATTACCTGTAGCCTTCTAAACAATGGAACACATATCGGCAAGCTTAAATATAAAGTCTCGCTTCAACCTATTACGACACCTTTGCAGAAGGATTCTAACCCCACATGCCCAGGTGTAAGCTATCAATGTCGAATGTGAACGTTTATCTACACGAATACCTCGGATGCTCAGTGTTTCTAGTTGTCAAGCAGCTGTACCACTTCCCCCCCACAGACTCCAGTAACGCAGTACTTACGTTTGTATCGACTGATGGCAGTTCGTCCCCTTCCACTATAGGAGTTGCGCAGTTTCTGGAACCAGCAGCAGCCTCGTTTCAAGGTCTCTTCCCGAGATTTGAGGAAATTTCAGCCAAGCACAACAAGACTGGGGAATCCCCTCGCAGAGTGGAATTGCAACACATGCCAGGAGGACGCTCTGCAGGTTGCAAGCAAGTTAGCGGTGTTAAGCTATAGAAGTTTTATCTCCAAAAAAGTGCAACAGCCAGCAGGTCACATCGACACACTCTCAATCTGAGAGTAGAGATATTGTTTACTCACAACACAAGTTTACACGGTGCTGGCACACACATGTTCAGGAAACTAGACCAGGAGTACATTTGCTATCTGTATATGAAATACTAGTTCCCTCGTTCCTCTCTATTCATAAACTGAAACAAAGACGTTTTGACTTTGTCCACAGACGGCTGCAGCTGGGAGCGCCATTCCGGTGAAGGTTTAGAAACACAACGAATGTACAGTTTACAGAATGTCTTGGGGGAAGGTTTTTAACGCTTTCTAAATACAAATACTTCATGAAACGTCCTCCAACATGTGGCAGCCGACATGCATATCAAGTAATGTTTCACTGCCTTGGTGGAGCGAAGAAACCTCATTTGGAATGTGTGGTCGGCAGATGAGATTTCACGTTACACTCCAATGAATGGTATTTACGTTGACATGTGAAAGTGATGTCAAGTGAGTGAGGATGTTTTACGCCGCTGTTAGCAGCATTTAACATCAGGGTGGGGCACACCGGAAATTGGCGGCACGAATTGTATTTGTGAGGGGAATCGAACCCGGGTCTATGTCGTGACGACCAAGTACCTTAGCATCTGCAAGGCTGCAAGTGTCCTAGAGAGATAAACGTGTGTAGCCTAACTGTCTCTATTCCTTGTGACGAGTTGTGCCTCTGTAGACAAGACATCACTATAGTATAGGCGTCAGTTAAGGATGGTGGCAGGCACAAAACCTTAAAAACGGTAAATATTGACATTTAAGTGACTTGCAAAGCGGAGTCTTAGAAAAGGTTCAATGATTAACACAAAGGATTTATAACAGAACAGGGCACAAAATAACAGAACAAACGATTAACATGTCTTAATTACACCCACGTGCGGATTCTATACAGTTACATAATGAAGAGAGTTGATAAAACTTGAAAATTCAATAAAAATATGTTTATAACTGTACTATCTGAGAAGAACAAACATTGATTTTGGTAAATCTGGATGAAAGACTTAGAAACGTAAAATTGGAAGATATAGACATTCAATGACAGTGTACTAAAATGTTTTTCTTTTCCTAAAAAGCCAATATGGCAAGACTCAATCGGTACTTTAGACTAACGCTTAGTCTCTGATTATATACATTTGACAGAAACAAACAGTACCATGTAAACTGAAAAGGAGCCCCAGTGAGATGGGAGATTCAGGCCTGAACATGAGGAAATCTAGACTTGCTTCATTTAGCTCTGCGGAAAGGACTGGGCGGAAGGGAAAGTAAAGGAGTTCATGGACCGTGAGACAGACTAGTGGTACCTCATCCGGATCATCTTATTCTTGACCTTATAGGACCACAGCACAAAGCAGCAGCCCTTAGACTCCAAGAGTGTGCCTGGATTCCTGCACACCTCACCTGGGTAACGCCCTTCGTATAGCTGTATACCAGTTGCTCACAGACTCTTAAAGCAAAGACCCCATTCACACGACCACGTTTGCTCACATAAGTATACTTTACACATATGTAAATATACTTATGTGAGCAATTTTGGTCGTATGAACGCATTTGCTTATATGCAAGTTTTACACACATATGTAAATTTTCACCTAGCCAGCACTAGGTGCAAATTTGCTACATGGTATAAGTAAAAGTTTTTTGGGTGAGTATTTTCTGTCTCTGAATGTGAAAACCGTCGTAAGATCATACAGAGAATGCAAATCAAACATAAGAAAGAGTGGATAGGGTCGAAAAACCAGCAAATTCTATAAAGAACTTGACACGATTCTGGGAAACCGCCCAGCCTCGTTACCGTTGAAATGAAGATGATGAAACTAATCAAAAGGATGACGCAATTGATGCAGTAGCACAGGAAAAACAGAAAAAGAATGATAACTCAAATCTGAAAAGAAAACAAGTACATGGAAAAGATGACGGGAAAACAAAAGAAAAAGAACTTGAGAACACAAAAGGTATTGGTAACGAGAACAGAGAAACAGCTGAAAAGGACAAGCCGAGTGAAAAGAAAAGGCGGAAATCAAAACTAGAAATTGTTTTGAAACTAGTAATGGAAGGATTTCGTGAATCAAATGAAAAAGAAGAGGATAAGATCTTTGATATTTAGAGGAAACAGCAGATATGGAAAAAGCAAAGATGGAATCTGAAGAAAGACAAAGGCGCGAAGAAAGGGACCATCAATTAAATATGATGAATATGATAAAGGGCGTTAACAATTAACAGACGAGACAGGCTCAACCGATGCCATCACTTCATGTTAATACAGGTCAAATGTCATAGTGCGAGTGAGTGAGTTTAGTAGTACGCCGCACTCAGCAATATTCCAGCTGTATGGCGGCGGTCTGTAAATAATCGAATCTGGACCAGACAATCCAGTGATCAACAGCTTGAGCATCGATCTGCGCAATTGGGAACCGATGACATGTGTCAACCAAGCCAGCGAGCCTGACCACCCGATCCCGTTAGTCGTCTCTTACGACAATCTCTAGCTACGTCACATCTCTTTTGTCGCTAAAAAAGTAAAATTATACCAAATCATCCGTTGATTTGCATGTGAAGCACGCAGTAGCGCTACACGACTTGATAGGATATTATAGATCTAGAACGGCGAAACAACCCGGTGTAAGCTTTCAACAGGCTACAGCAGTACGCGTTACGGGTCAGAAGAAATCGTCTACATGCAGCTCATCTCCGTTGTGCCGCTCCTGACAACCGACGTCAGCGGTGTACACAAAGCTGAAACTGGAGTAATCCTTTCTGGTCTCGTATCCCAATCCATATTGCACTTCCTTGACAAGCGTCGTCGTGCTATGGCGACGTGGAAATGAACATGAAACCAGTGTCAAACTTTGTCTCACGAACGATTGGCAGTGGATCAGTTGTGGCCGGGCAATTACTCCAAGGAAGGGTCAGTGGACAGTACTATCGGGGCAACATAGGGACACGCTTTGTTAATATGCAAGGAGCGTGGGTCAACCACGTCACCAAGACTGAGCTCACCGTTTGCTCGTCGTCAGTACTCACCTCCATCAATACAACATAGAAGGAATGAGGTCAGATCTGCCCTTTCTATAACCGAAAACAACCTAAGTGAGGGACAACAGAAAGCGGAACCTCGTTGGCCGCCGAAGCTCACGACGCAACAAAAGCAGTAAGACAGATTCCCAGACTCAAATCGCCATTGGGAGACTCATGTGCAATAGGCCTAGTGGGGTGAATGAAAGTTGGACATATCGTGGAGGCATTACCCTTAACTGATCCCAAAACGTGAACTGAGATTTCCACCTTACCCCTATGGTCCTCCAAGATGGTTGGCGGTCATACCATTTGCTTTCATACGTCACCAGCGATTGCTGTTCTTAATTCTTTCTTACTAGAAGTAATGTCTCCTTATATCTCTCGATTTTGGAATTTTGAAGTTACACTTGCTTGATCGGTTCGTTGTGTGTCATTGTTATGTGGTGGAAATGTGCTCATGCCATCATCATATATGTCGCCTAGAGGTTATTAATTTGAAGATGCATGTAGCCCGGTCGACCCTGCGATATTACTGACAATTCTTGCATCCGCTAATGAGAATACACCATAACCGATAAGGTTGTAATGATGAAACATTGATAAGAAATTTGAAAATTCATAGATTAAAAAATATTTATAATCAAATGTATCAGCAGTTAATAAAACTACATTTTGTATTTCATTAATGAATAACACCGACTACAGATATGCTTTTGTGAAGTTCATCTGAAATAAACGTACAATCACATACAAATGTATTACACCCGTAAAGTCGGAAATACTGTCATGGATAACACTGACTTGATTATTCAAATGGTCTCTTTGATATTAGTTTGAATCATTCCGATTTTGCTTAGCTTTGGAGGAAACACTTTATTTGATAAAGATTGGCCATCTACAGACCCAGTGTGCGCTAACTCCACATGTCGTGTGTTTATGTATGAAATATAGTGTATGAAGATGAGGGTTACCACTCATCTTATATTACATCCTGAAAGAAGCTGTGAAAGATCGGAGGATAGATGCCTTGAGTTATCTCAGGGATAAAGTTCGCACCATAAATTTGTAGTAAAACACATAATGTAGTGTCTGACAACTTTGATGTAGAAAGTGGTAACAACCCTCAAAGGTCCGTTATCCTCAAGGCGGGGTGTGAGTTATTAAACATCAGTCGGGCTGTATATGAACCTCCTTGTTATTGCCCTTTGATTCAAGATCTATGCTCTAACATCAACCTCTAGTCATTTGCACTTAAAGCTTATATTATAAGTGTCAGTTTTGGCTCATGTATTTTATCTGTAAATGTTAATGACTATAAATATCTGTATGTTATATGAATGTAACCAGAGCGGCATCAAGAATCATGTGTGATCTTACAGATGCCAAATACGCTTCAAACCTATGGCCTTGGGACATCATTCACTTTCACTGTAGGTATTTACGTGGGTTATTCTCATGAAGAATACCAGGACACTTTGTATGTCTTCCTCCGTGTTTCAAGTGTGGTCCGGTGGTCTAGGTCGTCCTTGGTCCACTGGTCGTGGGTTCGAATCCAGTGTTGTTATGATCCTTGGTCTGTCGCCACCACGCTGGTGACTGGAGTTACTACAACTCGAACGTTCCCAGCGGTGAGAATGCTATATTTCAAAACGCTGTTACACACAGATCACACATTGTGAAGCAAATTAAACAAACAGAAGAAAAACTTTCAAGACGACGTAGAAATGAAAACTACACACTACTATACTGAAGTACTGAAGTTCTGCTGTTCATCAGAATGGCCACTTGATGTGGCTTGAAACTGTTTTAGTGCGAGAGTGTTACAGGACACGCCGAATTATCTGTCAATTAATACTCCATGACTCAAACATGACATACTGAAATTTGTTTTACGCATTTCTGTGCTAGCATTAAAGTGTCTATTCGATTGCATAACA